TCTGCGAGAGTAAACGCCCCCATCCCCCTCAGCCGTTCCTCATAAGACTTGTTCTGCAGACCCTTCACCAGCTTCATTGCCCTTCTTTGGACACATTCCAGCACCTCAATGTCCTTCTTGTGGTGAGGGGCCCAAAACTGATCCCTCGATGCATTCATTATTGCTGCCTGGGAAGAACAGTGGCCAATGTTTGACTTCACCACCCTCACCTACTTACTGTCCATCGTCTCCCTTCGGACACCAACAAGTGGTAAAACCTGGGACATAAGGCAGCCCTGGCTGGTGTTTTAACCCCCCTACAGAACTCAGAGGGTGACTGGGAAAGGGCATTTGAGCAGAGGGGAGCTGCCCTGAGGCTTTCCACCATCTCCTGCAGCAAGAAGCACCTGCCGCGGCTGCCCTGACTACCCTGTGGGGTCCAGCCCATGGCTCCTGTGGCCAAATCCAAGAATCCTCCTGCTCAGTAACCCAAGACACCAGCATCTGCCTCCCAGCACAGCTGGACATTCTTCATGGGGTAAAGCCTCTGTACAGGCAGCTAACTGGGCTTAGGCATAAGCAGGGCTTGAACATAATTAGTGGCAGTGAAAGCAAGGAGGTTTAAAGAAGGTTATTAATGATATACATCACTGTATACAACAGCATAATCGCCAAAAAATATTAGATCCATTAAGTATCATTATCAAGGCCTGGAGCTAATCATTTAAGCTTAATGAAACTAATACATTTCTCCAGCACTGGCAGTAGTGCTGATTCCTTGGAGGGAAGCAGCAGCCAGGAAGGCTCAAGCCATGGTGTCTCAGCAGCATTGCCGCTGACCCTGGCCGTGGCACCAGGGCCCATGCTGGCTCGTGGCTCCACATTCCCAAGAGCTGAGCCCACTTCCAGGTGCTTTCAGAAGCAACCCACTCATTTCAGCAAGGAAACCTTTTGTTCTGGCAGCTCAAGGACCTTCTGGTCCATGATGTCCTACGTGGGCATTTAACCCTGTCATAGAAGGTTTTCCCCAGCATCCCACCAGCAGCAAGCCCTGTCCTCGGCGTGGGTCAGGCTGGTGATTCTGGTCTTTTCTCCCTGGGACCTTTGGCTCGAGTGTTAACGTCATTGAGGAGGGCAGCAAGATGTCACAAACCTCCCTTAGCTGGTGCAGGAGCAGGGGTCCAAGGCATCCCCCTCCAGCACCCACCTCTGGAGCTGCCTGGACAAAGGCAGGGCACCCATCTCCCTGCCTCCGCCTCCCTCCCTTGTTTTGAGCAGCTCTTTGGAGACCGGAGGAGAAATGACTCCGAGCCAAGGCGGTCGTGATGATCTCACTGCTAATTATGCAGAGAAGTCATTTAGCTGTGGCTGTGCGTGATGAAGTGATAGGACAGAGATGAACAAAACCCCACAGCCACTATGCGCATCGCAAATTAAAGAGAAAAAACCCCAAAGTGAGCAAACCCAAAGCGCCACAACCTGTCCTTGCCCCTCTGCGAGCCCTACCCCCAAACCCGCTGCAATTAGGGGCAGGCAGCTCAGATTGGGAAACAATTAGAAACCCCTTCAGGTCTGCTTTCCCCTCACCTTTGTCTGCGTCTGGTTTCTGCCCTGGTCCCAGCAGCAGGATCATCACTGCAGCAGAACTCACCATCGCTTCAGAGAGGAGCCTGGGATTAGCACCGGCCTTATTAAAAACACTCACTCACACCTCATTTTACCTTCACGCTGGAGCTGATTTAGCTTGATTTATTCTAATTAGTTGTAATTTATTGTTTTAATGAGCTCTTCTGCAGGCTTTTTGTGCTTCATAACCACCTTCCTTGGCTGCTACGATACATTTCAAGGAGGTCTTTTAATAAGGAGAAGCTTCCAAGGCCGCCTCAGATAGGAAGCTTTGTGTTGCAATCTGAAAGAAGAAAATTAAGATGAAATTTGCTTCTCCTCTAGGATGGGTTTGCTGTGGAGCATCTGGCTGGGAGCAGGAGGTTGCACTTCAGCAGGTGACCCAAATGGCGAGACGACCCTTCATCACCAGAAGTGTTTGCAACTGGGTTTAAAGACTGACAAAAGAAGACAAGTAGGAGAAAAGTCTCCTTCACCCCAGCTACAGCTCATTATTTGAGGGAGGAACGGGTGGCTCTGAGATGCCGCAGTGTCCGCAGGCGGCTGCAGCTCCATGAAGGGTTTGGTGATGCCCTATGCCATGGTCACATACATTACCTGCCCGGGAGGGTCCCTGCTGCCAGGGGATCACCAGGCTTCAGCCTCACCCAGCCCCCTCCTCAGATGGGTACGGGCAGAAGCATCCCAAACACGATGCCGTGACCCCCACTGGTGCTGCTTTGGCTGTGGCGATCTCTCCTCCCCGTCTCTCTGCTGGGACGGGCAAAGCTTGAGGAACTTCTTGGTCTGCTCCCAGGGGTGGCCGTGCTGGTTCATGGCCAGGAGCTGCTGCTGAACTTCCCAACCTTTGATTTAAACGAGACAGAAAGGCCATCTGGTCAGCCAGGGCGCGTTATTTCTATGCTGTTAGGTCCTTCCATTAGAGAAAAAGGAATTTTTTGCTTCTCTGTCCCCGTGGCCATCATGTGGCAAAATCTTTTGAGACATCCGAAATAAAGCAGATGAGATTTGCTTTGCAAGCAGACAAAAAACCGCAACAAAGCAGAATCTCCAATGGAAGAGAAACTCCCAAAGACAAACAGGAAAAACCCCAGATGACCTGGACTTTAGCAGAGGAACACCTGGGTGGTTATGGGATGTTCTGTGGGGGAGAAGGGACTGGCTCCTACCGAAGGGGCCTGGCTTTGTGTGAGGAACAGAAACCCTCAGGGAGCCGGGGATGCTCCGCAGGGCTCTGGGAGGGAAAAACACCCAGAAGTGTTGTGTCAACCCCCCTGTGCAAACCCAGACGGACAATAAGGAATCAGGACCAGCTGCCGAGCGGGAGCCTGGAGAGCTGCCAGGCGCCCGGAGGGGCCGAGGAGGGGAGGACCGCAGCCCGGGGGACCGAGGGAGAGGATGCTGGAGGACAACAGGCTGAGCTCCTGCATGCCCGCGGCACAGAGCTGCGCGCAGAGGCTCCCAGAGAGGCCGGGAAGCACAAACATCCCCGTCAGCCAACAGAAGAGTCTCTGCGGCCACTGAGGGACCCGCCGCAGGGACTAA